CTTTCCCTTATTTATTTTCCGCACTAACCTTCAAATACCCATTTATCGTATTTTTATGTGTTGATCTTTGCGCTGGAATACCCGCACCGCCCATGGGGGAGAGGTGCTTTTATACTAATCGAAAATACTTTAAAATTCGTCCTACATGCAAGCTTGTCGTAAAGATTTTGGCTACATGACACCTAACCATTTAAAGAATTACATAACGGCAATCAATCATGCCTCTGATAATAAATAATGGTTGTACGAAAAAAAATTACCGCATGTAGTACGAAGACGTCCTAATACCACCATTCCAACAACCTCCCTCTTCGTTACCTAATGCCGTTTCCAGCTTCTTCTCAGGACAACCCACCATCCCTCAATTCCACAGTCGAGCCGAGAGCGGCCAACTGACCTCTCTTTTTATTTTGCATAATGGCTTTCCTGAGCGACGAAAAGAAATTGGAAAATTCTTACTAGACTGTCCTCCAGGAGAAGTTAATGATGTATTTAATGGTATGTATACGAACGTCTTTGAGCCAAGCCTCAGGTAACGATGATGGATTGAAATATTTCGATCACATTAACTAATTTTTAATCGTAGGCTTATGAACAAACCCCGTAGTTTTTCAAGAAGGCATCCTTACAGCTTTAGAACAATATAACACGGAACAATTTGTTACAGTCACACCACCCGGACAAGAGCATAATGTATGATAGCCGTTAAAGTACTTGTAGTCTGATGTATGAACATTGTAATTACATCTAACTTCTCGATCAATATAACTCTTCATTCGATGTAATAATAGGTTATTATCTCCAAGTACGCCCAGACATTTTTGTAGATCGCAAATCACATCAAAAGTTTCACTTTGATCATATGCGACAAGTGATCCATGCTCATAGAACATTCATAGTTGAACCCAAAAGGTTACTTGTGCGTAGATATACACTTCCTCCAAGAATCAATCTATATGCAAAGATATGAAGAAGAGGAACGTAATATGCAGTGGCATTTGAATTCTCTCCTGATAACAAATATTACATGATAAAAGTATCCTCTCTAACGACTATGATAATAACGAAGAAATGGAGGATAAAGACTGGCAGGAAGTACGATCCCGCCGACGATATTGAAGGCAGATAAATACCAAGATCAAGGCTGATTAACTGATCAAAGTCTCAACCTCTATTCCCATTGTTATTTGCATGGACATTTCCGTCACTCTCGTAAGAATGATTAAAGGAAAAACAGTAGGCAAAAATCC